TATATATATATATATAAAACAAAAATAATATATCAACAAAAGAAGGCGATAATTATGAGTTAAAGATTAAAATTCTAAATTATTGTTATTCCAGGTTCGACAAATGCATTCACTTATTACTGGCAGGTGAGGAACTTCAACGTGATGTTGTCGAGCTGGCAGACAGGCCGTTGGATACGCAGCTCTACTTTCTATGCAGGTCGCAGCGGTTATGCCATGTATCTGAAAATCACTCCTAAATATTTTCCCGATGGCACGGTCTTCGTAGCTGTCGGATTGACCCGCGGTCGTTATGATTCCGTTCTCACGTGGCCATTTCCTTACAAGATCCGCCTCGAGGTACGCATATAAGACACCCGAAGTTGAGATGAATTATTCGGAGAGATAAATTGATAACTCCTAAATAAAATTAATTTTACAAGTGATTCTCGGATATAATTATGTAACATAATTACAAAGTACAGAAGAAAACCCACGAGCGGTATCTTTGATCTGAAAAAAAAAAGCGTTGTGTCGGAATATACCGTGTCCTCATAGAAAATATTCTCGAGACGTTTTCAAAACAGAAGAAATTTCTTTCCAATATGATCAAATAATTTTAAACAAAGTTAGAAAGTCGTTATTATGATATAATTCCGTGTCGCTCGCATTTCATCATAAAGGATAAATAAAATCAATATCGTGGATTTTGGTTTATTTTCCTATTTTATTATTTTCAAATAAATATATTTGATGTGTATATCATTGATTAAAAAGTATTAAATAATTTAAATCTTTTAAATAGATATGTTTTTCCTCATCTTAAATTAAAAAATTTGATATATTATCTGATTTATAAATTTCCGAATAATTTTTTTCTGAAATTTTTTAGAAGTTAAGTTTATTATTCTAGATTAATAAAACAAAGAAACGTTAAAATTAATTATTAATATAAACAGACATTAAGTTTTTCTAAGTTAATTACGCACATGTTTTATGCTTATTCATTATTTATAATTTATAATAATTAAAGATATATTGCTCAACAGTTCATTATTTTATGTAAAGAAGTAATATAAGAGTTAGAAATGACTTTCTATGAATTACTTATTAGTAAATTTGTTTTACCAATTAGATTTAATATCTTTTTTATTAATATATTGTTAAATGCGAAATATTTATTTATATATAAATTATAATTATTATCAGCATATGTGATTTGATGTAGGTATTAGATCATTCTTTAAGAGGCTCGCGTGAGGATCGACGATCTCGAATTTGGGATCCGGCCACGCTTTGTACACAAGATTTTTGGGGTAGACCAACAGAAGTGGCGGATAATCCTGAGTGCGTCGGATTGAGTATTCCCAGACGTATAATTCTATCAAAATCATTATCAATATTGTCTCAACGGTATTCAGGAAACACAAGATACATGTGGAATGGAAGTATGCTAATAAAACTTATTATTTATCTATAGACTATTTATCTATAGACTATTTAAGATAAATATACAATTATCAGAAATCTGTATTTGCTCTTAAAAATATTGTTAATACTTTTGCTATTATTAAAACAGATTTTGTGTGTGTGTGTGTGTGTGTGTGTGTATGTGTGTGTGTGTTGTATCATGATTTATTATAAAAAAACAAACAAAGCAAAGTCAATAAAGTCTTTTTTTTTACATTAATTAATTAGATAACAGATTTTATAGAATTTATTGAATACAATTCAGATCCGATTCAACAGTCGCTTAAAAAAATATGTATACTTAATATTATTTTAAGTTAATAAATTAATTGAGACGTTATTGGGAGGATCAGGATCACATATAAATAAATGCATAACTAAAGTCAAAATGCTCCTGCAAATAAAACTTTCTAATTTAGTTCTAGCTAACACCAATATTATACTGATTACATTTTTTTATATGCTTCTTTCGTGAATAATACATTCGTAGCGGTAAAATTTTCGGAAGTTGTACATAAAATAAAATGTGCACAATTTTTGCACAATTTTTTAAATTAAATTTATAATTTCTTTAATTATGAGACGAAATAATAAGTAAAATTTGTATTAAGACAATGAGCCCCATAAAATAGCTGCAAAGAAATCCGATTGCGTCCTGTCGCGGAAGAACTAAGCTTTAGTTAAAACAATATAGATAAATTCATTAACATAATTCTTGAAATATTTAATTAGTATTATAAATAAATTTCATAATACGCATTTGAAAACAAGAAAATAAAATATAATTTCTTCTGTTACAAATTCTGGAGGCGCTTATGCATCAAGTTGTGTCCGTTAAAATTAGCTTTCCATCGTGTTGCGTACAGGCATTTGACCCGAAAGGTAAATCCGCGGTATTTGTTGTAATCGATAATCATATGCCTCATGATCCACCACTTTCCAAACATTTTGTTTAGCGGCATCTAGCAATGCCCTGTACAGAGAAACTGGAAGCTGAACGTTGTTGTTCGTCACTTCGAAGTCCGATAAATCTCGCAGAGTGGAAGGTCCTTTTTTCTTCATTCTCCTTTCTTCCGAAACAAATCTGCCACATCCTGCGAGGTATAAAAAATAATTTATCAATTATTATACTAAGAAAAAATATAATCAATTTTAATAAATATTTAGTTGAATACTGCCAATAAATATTTATTAAATATAAAAATACATTTATTTGAAGAATCATTACAAGAATCATTAAATTGATTTAACAATAGTTCTTTTTATTAAACAAATATTTATTTACTGTATAAGTAAATGTTTAGTTGGCAGTATTGAACTAAATATTTATTAAAATTGGCTGTATTCTTTTCTTAGTGTAGAATATAATCAAAATTTCAAAATATATGCTATCTTGATCTATTTTTATCTATTTCTATCTATTTCTAAACGTTTTTACGAACTTTTATGAAAAATAATTTTTTTTAGTTTTTAAAAAATATTTAATATCATTTGTAAAGATTGTTGTATTGTTAATTGTTATAAAAGAAATAAAAATTATTTCTTACCAGTGAAAGCATTGCAAAATGGTCTCTTTGACTTGATTGTTTTCTCAGCGTTTAGGGCATTTAGAAGTCGTTCGAACTGCAAAAGTGAATTCTACCCGCCCATTTCCCTCATTAGAATTATTTTTATCTTTTCAAACTGTGTGGAAGATTGATACTTAATTGTTTGATATTAAAGTTTGATATTAATTTGATATAAATTTGATATAAATTTGTACAAATAATTCTATTATTATTAATCTATATATCTACATATAT